GAAAGCTGGTAAGAAAAGGCCAAGGAACTATAGACCAGTGAGCCTGACCTTGGTGGTGGGCATGTTGTTGGAAGGGATCCTGAGGGATAGGATTTACATGTATTTGGAAAGGCAAGGACTGATTACGGATAGTAAACATGACTTTGTGCTTGGGAAATCATGTCTTGCTAACTTCATTGAGTTTGTTGAAGAAGTAACGAAGAGGATTGATGAAGACAGAGTGATTGACGTGATCTATATGGACTTTAGTAAGGCATTCAAGAAGGTTCTGCTTGGTAGACTGGTTGACAAGGTTAGATCACATGGAATACAGGGAGAACTAGCCATTTGGATACAGAACTAGCTTGAATGTAGGAGACAGAGGGTGGCGGTGGAGGTTGCTTTTCAGACTAATGTCTGTGACCAGTGGTATGCCACAAGGATCAGTGCTGGGTCCACTGCTTTTTGTCATTTATATCAACGATTTGGATATGAACATGGGAGGTATTGTTAGTAAGTTTGCAGGTGACACTAAAATTGGAGGAGCAGTGGACAGTGAAAAAGATTAGCTCAGAGTTCAACAGGACATTGATCAGGTGGGCCAAGGAGTAGCAGATGGATTTAATTTAGATAAACATGAGGTGCTGCATTTTGGGTAGGCGAATCAGGGCAGGACTTATACACTTAATGGTAATATCCTGGAATGTGTTGCTGAACAAAGACACCTTGGAGTGCAGGTTTATAGTTCCTTGAAAGTAGTGTTGCAGGTAGATAGGATAGCAAAGAAGGCATTTGGCATGCTTGCCTTTATCAGTTAGCGCATGGTTAGGCCACTTTTGGAATACTGCGTTCAATTCTGGTCTCCTTGCTAGATGAAGGATGTTGTGAAACTAGAAAGGGTTCAGAAAAGATTTACAAGCATGTTGCCAGGTTTGGAGGTTTGATATATAGGAAGAGGCTGCATAGACTGGGCTAATGTTCTCAGGAGCATCAGACGCTGACGGGAGACCTTATAGAGGTTCATAAATCATGAGAGGCATGGATAAGGTGAATAGATAAGGTCTTTTTCCCCAGGTTGGGGGAGTCCAAAACTGGAGGGCATATGTTTAAGATGAGAGGGGAAATATTTAAAAAGGACCTCAGGGCAACTTTTCACACATAGGGTGGTGCACGTATGGAACAAGCTGCCAGAGGAAGTAGTGGATTCTGGTACAATTACAACATTAAAAAGACATCAGGATGGGCATACGAATAGGAAGGGTTTATAGGGATATGGGCCAAATGCTGGCAAATGGGACTAGATTTATTTAGGATATGTAATTGGCATGGATGAATTGGACCAAAGGATCTGTTTCCATGCTGTACAGCTCTATCACTCAATGAAGATTTTGCCAAAGTCAGAAAGTGTAATACTGTGGCATTTCAAACTTTGAAAGAAGTGAGATGGCTGTCAACACACTATGTAGTGAGTGCACTAATCTGAAACTGCAATGTCTTGATCATGTACTGCAGAGAGCAAGTGAATAAATGCAACAATCCAATTCATAAATATTGCCTAAAAATCCTTAAAAAGCCAAAATATCAGGTTGCATTAACAGCTCTGAATGATGTTCACAGTGAATTGGCATCACTGTGCAAATTCTTACAGAGAAGCTGTTTGACGGTAACCAAAGCTGTGTAATTTACAAAACCAAAGATCAATGAACTGAAGACTCAGTATCTAGGTGAATGTGTTTATTGAAGTGATGAAGTTAAGAAGGCTCTGGCTGCTCTCAACTGAGATATGGACACTGCTGCAATCCTTCAATCATTCAACTGCTACGTGGCCACATGGAAAGCAGATTTCCAGGAGATGAATTATGAGAATGGCATGCATTTGATCAGGCTGCAATCGTCAAGACAACTGATTATGAATTTGGAGAAGACAGTATTGTACAACTAATATCGGAATATTACACTTCTATGCCAAACTATAATGAAAATGCGGCTGAAAAGATATGTGAGGAATACTCCAATTCCAAATTTATGTTATACTAAAACAAGAAACTGTAGATCTGATGATGAGTCACCAGACTTGAAACATTAACTCTACTTCCTCTTGACAGATCGTAGAATCCCTACAGTATAGAAGGAGGCCATTCAACTGATCAAGTCCACAACAATGCTCTGAAGAGCAAACCACTCCCCTACCCTGTCCCTGTAACCCTGCATTTCCCGTGGCCAATCCACCTAACCTGCACATATGTGAACTGTGGGAGGAAACCAGAGCACCTGGAAGAAACCCATGCAGACACAGGGAGAATGTTCAAACTCGATACAGACAGTCACGCAAGGCTGGAATCAAACCCAGGTCCCTGGTGCTGTGAGGTAGCAGTGCTAACCACTGACCCACCACGCCATCCCATGCTGCCGGACTGCTGACTTTCATCAGCAATTTCCATTTTTGGTATTGGAAGAAGTCAAGACAGGTTCCATTCAGACATTCAGTGATTTGGTAGACTGTGCTCTTAAAAGATGACCAGTTTCAACAAATGTCCATTCTTCTAGACATTTGTGCAACTTATCAGGCATCAAGTACTGACTCATAAACTTGATAAAGTGTAAATCCAAAAATAGATTAGATACATATCACTTGGACAACTTAACGTGAATTAAGTTGTACATTTCATCTGGACAAAATATCAACCTGAATATAGTAAACAATCATTGGGCAGCAAATAAAGTTAGGTGTGAAATCTTGCCAACATAGAAGTGAATAAATTACTAGTGTTACCTTTTGGTCACATTCTATCTGTGGTGTACATAGTGTCACCACTAAATGGTCCTGAGCAAACAAGTTTGTTTATTTTAGCAGGTAAAATACCTGTAATTGTAAAATAATATAAATGCACACTTTTAATAGTTAACATCATGAAAAAGTGCTGTATGCAGTTAAAATGCCTGTAACTGTAAATATAAATGTACACTTTTAACAGTTAATAAACAAACTGCAAAAAAAATTGCTATATGATTTCTGATCAAGGTATGCATGTGGTTTTACTAATCCATGTTCCCTTCCCAGCCCCCAGAAAAATTAGAGGGAATACTGCTAATATGTACGAATGTAAATAAGGAAGTGTTACATTACATAAGGAGTTGAAATGCCTAACTTTGTAATAACAACAACCTCAGGACAGCTTATGTACAGACATACTGAGGCAGAGATACTTCAGGCCTGTATCTCAATGTGTAGGTAGAACGCTGGTTTTAAGCACAAGACAAAATAGGAACTACATCCTATTTTCATATTCTCAAGATATCATGTCCTGTTAAACACATTTTTTTTATACTTCTAAATCCCTTGTGACCATTCTTTCAGCCAAATCACCACAGGAAGCACATTCTAAACTACTTAGTGAGGGAAGAACCTTGGATCCATGCCTCTTAGAAAATGCATGGCATCAAATTACATTCATCCGCTTCTATTTCTTTCACATTCTTAATCAACTGTGGTGTTTAAATAAAGAAACAGTGTAATCATTATTTTCATGTAAGTGCTGTACCAACTTAAATTCAAAATTCTATTGTGCTGACTTTTATTAACAAAGTAAATCTCCTCCAGTTATTCATTATGCAAACAAACATCACAGTATTTTGATATATACGTTTGCACATAGATGTTCTGTTATTATTGCTATTAGTTATGGATTATCGTCTATTATGGTAACATGGAATGATTATGTGTCGTTAATTTGTGATTTGCTTTGTGTAAGTTAATGTTTATTATGAAATACAGAGAAGGTGTGAATAAATCTGACGATCTGACACCATGTGCTGCAATTCAGCAATTATTACAGGTACCAGCATTGTCTCCAAACAGTTTCACATTGTCAGGAACCATATCTTGCTCCTGCAATTATTTTCAAATTAAATCTTATAGTTTTTGTATGCGTTTTACCATTACTACAACCGGATTTAAGTTATTTACAAGTTTTTCCCCTTTTTTTACTGATTTTAATGCACTGGGAGATGTCACCTCTCCCCCGGAGAACCTGTTATCAGTTGGAGCTTCCTTCTATCAAGAACTGGTGGGTCGAAGGCAAATACTTTGTGCACGTTCTTAAGTGTGTTTTGCTGTTCATTTCCTTTCTCACCCAAATACAGGGTACAAACAAGGCCACACAAGTTGCCCCAAATTTTGTGAATTAAAGTACATTGAAGGCATCAGTGACGTCATACGCAGTGGGCGGTTTCCATGGAAGTGAACCTACCTGTGGCTGGGCGGCCAATCGGAGAGCGGGTGCGAGTGTCAATCAGAAAGACAATAAGAATGAATCAATACGGATCAGAGATTCGGGCGGAGAGGGAAATGGGATTTATGAATGAAAGTGAAAAGAAGAGAATGAGAGAGGAAGTAACACTTTTTTTAAAAAAAGACCCCAATTCTCAAGCAAATCCCCAGCAAAGCAAAGACGAGTAAAGTCTACTCAAACTTATCATTAAGTTTTAACACATTAGATTTTCCATGTTCTGCATTAGGCCACACCGGAAAGTTTAAGCACATCAAATCACAACGCTCGAGAAGAACTGGGTGAGCTACTGCGTCACTTGAGCTCTGCAAGGAATATGTTGAGGCTTTAATGGGAGTGGGAGGTCAATGTTTTAAAAGGTTTTACAAACACACACTACCGTAACTTTTTGATGGGGAGCTGATGCTGGAGAGAGATGCAGCCGAATGTCCCGCAAAAGTAATGGTTCTAGCCTCAAAGTAGGGTATTTGGAAGGGAGGCGGGGTACAGAGATTGTCTCTCCGATCAACTTCGCAAAGGGCCGACAGCCACTGAGTGCAGCCCGAGACAGCTACAACTGGGGGACGCCTGGAGAGGGCGGGGTCTCGCTCCGAATGGCTACCATCGCTGTCGATCATACCGACAGCTTATCCGTCGCCCGCCAATGGGTGGGCGGAATGCGGAGCTGCGAACTAATCGTTTCCCGCGGACCAGACTGGGTAGGCGGGGTCAGGAGACGGCAGTGACCAGGATGTGGGCGGCTGTTCCGCTATTTGTTTGCAGTTTTGTTGAATAGATAATGAGGCGCTGCCGAGGTAATTAGAGCATGCTGGAGTTTTTTTTCGTATGTGTGTGTGTGTATGCGCGGGGAGGAGGGAAGTCTTTCCTGTAAAAAAGAACCGTAACCAAACTCAGGGCAGCATTGCCTGCAGAATGTGGACGGAAAAGCAGACGAGAGGCGCACTCTGCACAACACAGTGAGAAAGAAACTCTTGGCTGCAAGCGCAAGGGACTTCTGAATGGATGCCTGACACCAGCCGTCCCTTATGCAAAAGATTAGCAAACTCCAAAACTTACAGACACCAAGACTATGGCAAGTCTCGCTGCCTTGATCCGAGTCGGAAGCCACCTTCTCGTCTGTTTTCTGTTGGTTTTGAGCAATTCTCGGGCGCTCGTTCGCCGAATCTGCTGGCAAGCTATCGTGCAGTGCCAGGTCGAGCAAGATTGCAGCTTTGCGTACGACCAGTATATGGAGGCTTGCAGATCCGTTTTAAACCTGGAAACCAGACGCTGTCCCAGCCACTGCCTCTCGGCTCTTATCCACCTCAACCACACGCAGAACGGGCCCATGCTCGAGAACTGCGATTGCCTCCAGGACGAGCTGTGCAAAAGGACCAAACGTGCCATCGAGCCCTGCCTGCCGAGAACCCGCAACCGGGACGGGGTGATGGGCTGCACCGAAGCCCGCCTGCAATGCGAGACCGAGCCCCAGTGCAACAACGCCATGCGCCGCTACCTCCAGAACTGCGGCAAACTTTTCAATGGCATCAAGTGCACGGATCAGTGCCGGGAGGTGATCGAGAGCATGCTGGTCATCCCTAAAGCCTTGCTCCTTAAGGAATGTGTCTGCGACGGAGCAGATCGACCTATCTGCGAGGCGATCAAGGATAACATGGCCAGACTGTGCTTCTTTGGACCTGAGCATAGTTCTGGCAGCAGCGGCTCGGACATGGAGCCAGATGATTACTGGGACTATGAAGAAGATCCAGGAGACAACGTTATCAGTTATGATGATGAGAATAAAGACACATACAGGTACTCTACAAGCGCCAGATCCTCCTCCAGTTTCCCACTACTTAATGTTTTGACTTTGATGGCATCCATTTTACTACTACTACTAGTTCCCGGTTATAAATAGAGTACAACTTTTATTCTTCTTCAAAGAAAGAAGCTCTGCACTGCCATCTTCAATATACAAAAGACAATTTAATAGACCTTTATATAAAATTAATTCTGGTAAGATTTGTTTGTATTTTCGGTTGTATTAGAGGTGCGGAATTAATCTCTGGTACAACTAGTATAAATCTTATATGACTGGTGTTTTTTTTTAGCCAGTCGTTGTGTGTTTATGTATAAAGTTACAAATGTATACATTTGGGGAATAATTTATTGAAATAGAGACTTAACCACATGGCTCTGGTTTAGCATCGAGCTGTGAGAGAATGCAGTGATACATTTACTAGCGAACTTGCAGGATTTCAATACTTATTCTAAAGGGAAATTGATTTATAATAAATTGTCGGCGACCCCAGTTGAACAGTCTAAGATGCAACATGGAGATTTCGAAAGGTTGTCTTTAAATATGTATTTTTGGAAATGCAGAGATATTAAAAAAAGGCCTTGATAGATATTGTTCTTTTAAATAACTTTGTAAGGCTGTCATTAACATTGTATTTTCATAGAAGCCATAAAGAGTCAGCTAGTTTAAAACAAAATTTCGCAAGACTTGCGTGTCTGTTCAAAGAGTTGATTGAAAGTGAAAATGCTGACGGTTGTTTCGCGATGTTTGATAATGTGTCCGTGAACGTATAAGATACCAAGTTTCCCAAACTTCCAGCGCCATCACATTTGCTGTTTTCACAGCTGATAGCTGAGTCGAGCTGTGACTTTCGACTAATCGAGTTTCTGCCGGTCTTAGTTTGCTTTTTGCCAATAACTCCAGAAAGCTTTACACTAGTTATTCTTAGCGAAGTCCTCTTTATTTTTAATATCCTGGTCTCAGAGGATAAACATCATAATTTTAGCTGGCTGACCAAGCAGCACTGACTGACGTGTTCATTGTACAATATATAATGGATTTGGAAAAAAAAATCATACTTCATTGTCACGTATTATACTTCGACTACCAGCCAGATGCTACGAAAAGCCGCGTTTCTTTGCAAACTTCCCGACGAGGTGCGTAGTGTCAAGAGTTCTTTAATGCAAAGCCCAAATATACGGAAGGATTGTTAGAAGTTACATTTTTCTGTGCTGTGCACTGCAGTATCGAATCAGAGTACATTCTTTAAGTTGTACTTTTTACGGCAGCAGGGCAAACATTCAAACATGTAGAATCATTACAAAAAAACACACAAGTATATGCATACATTGTAACATGTTGTTTAAGTCGCTTTCTGAGGGCATTCAGTCTGGGCTCCTGCCAGGGCTCCTGATCCTCACTCAAACGCCCTTAGATAAATAATTACACTCTTAAGCACCCGTCGAGTGCTGCTATACTTGACCTTGTAAATAGAACTGTTTGCAGTAGGAATAAACTCCGTCGTTTGAAATCTTTAAACATTTAGCACAAAGCAGGCTCAGTCCTCTGGGGATTGCCCGTGCCTTCTCAAATAAGTCGCGCCACATCAGGCTCGCGGAAGAAGTTTATTTATCTTTTCTCTTGCTGTTTATTTTATTCTTTAATGTTGCGGTTGGAAGCCCAGTCAGAAGTTTAACTGTGCCCACAAATAAACTTACTTTGGTTGACGGATTTGTTTAACGACCGCAACACTATTATGCGGATTTTACATAAAGAGAAACCTGTATGTTTACATTTGTAACCGCTCAAAGTAGTTGTTTGTACACCTAGTCACTTGCACTTTAAAGTGGGCAGAGTCTGCCCGAAAGCAACTGTTCTTTAGTTCTACTGTAAACTGATATTATTTTTAATCTTTTGCAGTTACCCTTACGGTCTCATTTTATAAGCATGTTTAAATTTATAATTTTTTTTGTAAATATGGATTCTTACTGTCTTCCCATTATGTAAATTTCAGTGCAGGGAAAGATAGAGTACTTTGAAGCGTAGTTTAATGTCGTTAACTATCGGTGACTTTTACAAACGTATTGGTCTTGTAAGCATATTATGTTTTAAAAGATGACCCGTTGACCCGAAGTGAAGTCGTTGTTTGCTAACTACTGTCCAGATGCTTTTGGTTTCTACTGTGCAGATAGTTGGAGTGATGGCTGTTTATATTAGCCTAAGTAGATTTAGCATTCCCTTTTTCCATTGAATGCATCTTGCAGTACAAAACACACCAAGATTTCCCGTAAGGAGTGAAAACATTAGCACTGCAAAGCCTGAGGTCTAGCAACTGGAGTGATAATTAACTCACAGGAGAAGTGGGGTCTGGTTTACAAGCGGTTGTCAATAGCATCTGCCTAAAATAAATCACTAGCCAAACAGCTAGTTTGGCAAATGGAGTTGCCGTTGTATAAAAAAAAGTGCTTCAGTCTGAGAGCAGCAAGAGACACCACAACCGTGGGACTAAGGCAGACTAGTGGAGGAACCATTATCTTCATAACATAATCGGACAGAATGGAAAATGTTCCTCGTTTTACTTGACCTCAATAACTAATGTTTAATTTTTTTTATCCATTTTAAGATTGAATCTGATGCTAGTCAGATTCCCATCATACCTCACGAAACTCAGAAATATTGACAAACTTCTATTTTGAAGCTCTCACCAAAAATGTGCAACCTGTTAAGTTGAAAAGAGGGGACACATGTCTGAAATGCCACACTGCCAAATCAGCTAGTCTAACCTTGTTTGCTGCCAAAGTCGCTACAATCTCCGCAATAATTAATACACGTTGAGATGATTCGATCAGGGATTTGTTTCAATGATATTGCTTGCTAAATAAAACTACAGGTTGATTTATCGATTACTTGAACGAACGCTGCCCGGAGCCACACAGGACAGAATGAATTCTGAGGTTCACCGTTGAGAGAGTGCAAAGACTTTTTCCTCTCGCTCTCTGTGACAGAATGTTTAAGGGACTCCTGAACAATGCAAGAGAACAAGGAACAGTTCATTTAACTGACAGAGAGCATACAGTATATGGAGAGAGGGTCTCTTGGTCCACTGATCACCCTGGCAGACAGCAGACCTTTTGTATACAAGACACAATGGAGAAAAACAGTACTTGGTGTTTATGAAACCATCATGACAACAACATTGACTGTCCAATCAGCTAACTCGCAGTGACCATTCTCCCACGAGTAACCAGGGCTCCAAATAAATTATTTCAACAATGTTTATTACTGGACGACAAGAGCCCTTCAGCTGCATTAATCGGGGAAGTCGAGTGGCACTTTTGTTATGTAAATGTTAAGCACATAATAGTTCAGTCAAACAATGAGGAGGCACTTCATTCTAGCATACTACACGTCTAGGAAACTGCAGGGAATTATGTGGGAAATATCTACACACTGACAACCCCCAGTCTCTGGTGCATCATAAATGTATGGGCTTCAGATATTGTTATTGTGGAAAGAATGCTTTCAGCCACCAAATGTTTAGGTGACCCTTTACAAAACCAATACAGTGACACTGCCTGGGGATTATCCGCACAGTGGCAGTCCGCGGTCCCTGTTACATCATAAACGTGTAGGAATTAGATCTGCTTATTGTGGAAATGTTTTATTTAGAGACAAAGGGGCTGGTGTGAGAGAAAAATGACTCAAGGACTAAGTGCAAGTATAATGCATTTGACAGGACACTGCAAGAAATGACATGGGAAACACCGGCATCTCGACGGGCTTTGCTCTGCACTATGTCTGATTTATGGGAAAATTGTATTTCAGTCGTTGAAGGAAATGCTGTACCACAGAAAGGAGGTGCGATATTAAAAGATGACGGACTTGGTCAAATATCTACAGGTTTACAGATTCCTGCCATCACTCCAACAATAGGGATTAGAAACTCAAAATTTGCAAAGCGTGTAGAGTTAAGACCTTCTAGGCATTGGGATGAATGATGTGGGGAATATTTGCAAGAAAATCAGAAATTGCTGGAGAAATTCAGCAACTGAAGAAGAGTCACTAGACTTGAACGTTAACTCTGCTTTCTGTCCACAGATGCTGCAAGAACTGCTGAGTTTCTCCAGCAATTTCTGTTTTTGGTTCCGATTTTCAGCATCTGCAGGCTTTGTTTTATTTTGGGTAATATTTACCTTGCGTTAGCTCATGAGCATCACAAATTCATTCTGTACAGAGCTGACACGACAAACCAAGAACTAATGAAATAGATTCCAAAATCCACAGAGTGGTCGCAGGCATTATATGTGTAAAGAGCATGGCTGTTACCTATCTTCTCAAAATTATGTAAATTTTCATCTTCTGTTGCGGCCAATTGTAAAATGTTACTTATTCATTATTGAGACAAAAGCCGAAAGAAAAACAACTAGAGAGTCGCGTTGCAATCGTCAAAGCACTTCATGGGACCGCGAAAGCGAATTATCTTCCATAAACTTTGCTAGAACGACTCTTAAAACAGTGTCCAAAAAAAAATAAATGAATAAATAACAGGAAGACTGAATGATAGTGCATTGTTCTGTTCTAGGTTATAGTAGGTACATCGCCATAATTTTTCATGGCTATATTGTTTTCCTGTGCATCTATCTTATTTGAGGCAATGTCAAAATGTACTAGTGGAAGTAAGAAGCAGTTTGAGTTTCAAGCTGTGGGGAACTCTTGGGAATTATATGGGAACTAGTTATTCTGATATCAACCCAAAGTATATTTAAGCCAATATTAATAGATCATATAATGAAAATAAATAAACAAGAGATAGATGACATAACTCTATTTAAAAGAAATACTGCATTTAATACTTAAACAGCGTATTTCAGAAATTTTGCTTGACACAAGTTCTGTCACACTGCCTCGTTCAATCAGGTCAAATTGATATTAAAGAAATATTTCTACCTGCACTGGTCTGAGGTAAGTAGCTTTCATGTGCATTGGTATTGCACTGTTCTGAAACTTACTGGATGAAAGAGTCAAACTTTGCATTCATTCTGGGTTGCAATTGAAATGCACTCCTGGCGACACCAGAATCACTCTTGCAAATCATATTGTGTGTTCTAGGATAAAGCTGTGAAAATACATGCTCTTCTCCAGTGAATATTGAATATTTTGAGACCATAGACAAAATCCTCAAAACTTTTAAACAATTAAAGAAATCTCTAACTTCACCATAAAGTGCCCTATTCGTCTGGTAGACTACCTGAGTATCCTTAAAATCTGAAAATAATGTGCTAGAGAAAGTACCTGTGGAGAAAGAAGCAAAGTTCAATATGACCCTTATTCAGACGTCTGAAGAAGCATTCAAAATAAATCATTTTAGACTCAGAACTTTAACTTGGCTCTGTCTCCAAAGATAGTGCCAGACCTGCTGAGTTTCTCCTGCATTTTCTGTTTTTATTTCAGGTCTCTAACATTCACAAGTGTTTGGTTTTGCTCTTAAAATCTGATTAACAAGACATTATGTTGCAAGTAAAGTCAAACCCACAACAAGTTGTTTTGAGCAGGTCGCACTTTATTGTACTCTGGAGTTGGGTGAGAAAATTATGCTGTGTTAAGAATTGCATTGGTGCAAAGCAGAAATTGCAATCTAGTCTCTTTATTATCTGTGGTTCACAGGCTGGCACCTGGACAAAATTAAAACTTGTACAATCCATCTTTCCACCTATTTCACTGGATGTAAACTCATCAAAATTGTTTAGAATTTTTCCTTATAAGAAGGTAGAATGTATTTTTAATGGAGCTAGAAATGGAATCTAAATTTGCCAGCTGGACAGTTAAGTAGCAAATTAACTTCAATATGAATATTATGGGATGATGTACTTTGGTAGGGAAAGAAAACCATCTTCTATACCTTAATTTCTAAGATAGTAAAAAGACCACAACAAATAGTGATCTAGAGATAGTAGTGAACTGATAACAATGCATCTCAGCAAAACAATTAAAATGTTAACAGAGTATCAATATTTATTTTAAGGTGTATAGAATTCAGAAGAAGTGGAGTTATCTTAAACTGAGACCAGTTCTAGCCTCTGTGCCGTAAAAGGTACAACGAAGAATTTGCAAGCAAGATTTACAAGGATTGTCCCAGGAATGAGACTTTAAATCTCTTGGGAAAGATTGAATAGGTTGTGGCTATATTTTTTATGAAAAGGAAAAACTCAGAGGAAAAAAATGGTTTTAAAGTTATGAATATGTTGGCCAGGGTAATTGTGGAAAGAATAGGTTTAAACGTTTCCAGGTCTTTGGAGATGAGCTGGGAGGCAGGAGTGCAGGTAATATGATGGATGAAGCTGTTGGGAAAAGAGCCTGATATCTTGCAGTCACCTTGGGTATTGCCTGTGTCAGAAACCTTAGTAATGTCATTGTCCATAGGTAGTGAATTGAGACAATTAAATGTCCAACTAAGACCCACTTCCTACTGCTGCAATGGTTCCATGTCAAAGGACCTGTCACCACATCACAAGACTGTCAAGTAGGCACTAGCAGTCTTCCAGCAGGTTCTTGGAGGGGACCCCTCCCTTAATGGCTGCTCCATGGTCCACAGAGTGTTCTGCTGGTATTAAACACCATAGATGTCTAATGTGCCACTGCTAGAATAGGACCAATAGCCAATAACCCTAACCGTAACTGTAACCCTGATCATCTCAACAAACTTCCCACTTTTTAAGTTCACCTCGCCACGAACTCGGTCTCTCCTTAATCTAATTGAACTGGCTGTTAATTGCCTGCTGTAGATTCTCAACTCCAGCTGGAGCAGGAACAGCGCCTACCTTCAGCCCTGAGGGTAGAATTTAATCCTGTTTGGAAAATACTGTCCCATATTTCCATTTGTCAGAGAAGCTATAACCAGGGTTCATTGATACAAGGCATTAATAATAAATTCTTTCCTTACTCACAGGGTGGTTAGAATATAGAACTACCAATAGGAAGTGGGTAAGACAAATAACTTGGATGCAATTATGAAGAGGAAAAATGATTTCATAATAGTTTATACAGTGGTGCTCTCTTAAAAGTAGGTTCTAATTGTCTGTTATTTTTCTTCTTGAATATATTTGCGTACCTGTGTTCCAAATGATGAGTGCAGGAACTACAAATGTGAATCTTTATTTCTAGTACCTGCTGGCAAATACATTCTGACTGAATGAAAATAAATATAGTTTTTCAAGGATGTGGTAGAGGACTTATTATATGTGATATTTGGTAAGATATTTGGACTGTGGTTGCTTGTTGTTGTGATGGTTATAACATTTGATTTAATTATGACAAAATTTGCAAGAAAATTCAACTTGTCCCCATACAGCATGTTTCACTCAATAGGACTGTAATAGTCAATAATTTCAAAATACATTCTGAGTATACAGCCTGAGGACAAAAGTTTCAAATTGGAAGTTACAAAAACTACAGTAATTTTTGTTTCACTATACACTATGTTCTAGTCTGAGAAGCCTCAATATATTTTCAATATTTTTGTTTCATAATGTACATGATTTGAAAGACTCACGGCCTTCTATACCATTTCTAACCTCTCTGCCCACTGTGGCCAAAAGTCTTTAGACAGTGAACTTCCCCCACTGTGCCTACGTGGCAGCTGCTGCCCCAAGCTTTAGTGCATCCCTCTGCACTTGGGTCTGGAACCTGAAACAAGAAGTTTCAGACAGACCAAAGGGCATTTTTCAACAAATAGATGGTTCCCCAGCTGCTGCTGATGTTCACCTCAATAGTGCATCCCTGGGAACAGACCAGAGAGCACAGAGACCTGTGCTACGAAGCTGCTTGAGATGAACCTTAACAGATATCACTGTATTTCTCTGCAGTCCTTCTTTGCAAATGCACATTCCACAAGCTGGTGGACAACAGTCTTTTCTCACCACAATCACCAAAATGGGAATTAAAAAAGGTTGATACTTTGGGTCTGTAGGAATGACCTGACAGGAAAAGCCTTTCTCACCAAAAACTAAGCTTAGTGCTTGTTTGCAAGTTTCAGCTGTGAGGCATTCTGTCAAATGATTTTGACAGTCTGTTCAGGGAACCATCTGACTTACTCCTACTACTTACTCCTTTTTATCCCCAGAGCCTTGAGGACACTACATACTAACTAATACCTATGAATTGTGGTCAAAGATGTGTTTCTGCATAAACATCTCTATGGAGGGCAGGTAATACAGCATGGTCCAACTGAAAAAGCAATTATATTACACTTGTGTACTTCACTGGGACAAAGTAAAGTCTGTTATTGTCTGTGTATTCTCTTGGGGTAACATAGCTTGATGATTACACTGACTATAAAAATTCCTTTGTCCCATAGATAGACAGTAAAGAAGAAAAATGCTATAAATTATCAACATAAACAAAAAATTGCTGGTTCTATTAATTTCTAAAGATATTCTGAAGATACTATGTAGTAACCGTATATTTAAATTTGGCACAGATGCTGATCCAGTGAACACCTGCTCTGGTAAGTGTCGCCCAGCAGTTCATCATAGATAATAAAATAATATATACACAACCTGTGAAGATACAGAGACCTCAGCACTCATCAATTGTAATTAGGATCTTTAAATTTGCACAGGTAAAAGTCATTGGGATCTGGAATATTTTAATAGTTAATCATTCTTTCCTCATGACAATATCTATAATTTGTATCATAACATAATCATCATACTCATTCTTAAACTTGCACTCATATCATTTTCCTAATAGACATTCACCCTGATAAACAGATATATAAGTGATACTTAAAAAGACAACATCCCGCCCATTTTCTAAAGCTTGTCAAATGAATAAAATGGGTGACAATGCTGAGTAAATCTATGGGCTCATCGTAGTCAATACTAACTGCTCTCTGCTGGAATTCTTCCTTTGCATACACTACTGAAGAAAATTTAGGGAAGTCACCAATGTAAGGCTTACCTAACATGTTAAAAGCTTGTGAAAAGCTGATTATGCATCAGGAACCAAATGCTATAATCTTTGAATTCCCAGTAGTTGTTGGTTCACCTTGCATAATTGGAACCTAACACTGGAGCTGTGAAAAGAGTTAACAAACAGGGTAGTTCAGCTGTATAAGTACGGGAAGAGGTTTTTCTATTAGGAAGTCGACAGTTTTTTTTGGACATTTCAGATTGTCAAAGACAAACAGAAATTACCCAAAGGACATGTAAGAACACCACTATGACCCAGCAATGCTCCACTGTCTGTACTGGATACTGACTAAGCTGGTGTTCTTAAAAACATCAGTGCCCAAGGGAACCCAGATCAGCATGGAATTTGTGAAAAAGAACTGGCATCTGATAGGTCCAGACTTGCAATCCTAACATTTACACTTTGCTGCTATTTTCAATAACTGTCACAAAGGTTATTAGCTTCCACACCACACCATCTTCAGCAAGAGAAATCTATATCATCTGTTAGTTTGCTGTGCATTTCTGTGAAAAACATTGTTAAAAATGTTCTATTTTACATGCATGACTTCAACTAAAAAAGTTGCATCAAACAGTAACAGAAGACACAGATGCTTTCATTTTTATATTTATGGCTCCATAAGGTTAAAGAACATGACAACATAAGTACATAAGAACTAGGAGCAGGAGTAGGCCATCTGGTCCCTCGAACCTGCCCCGCCATTTAATAGGATCATGGCTGATCTTTTTGAGACTCAGCTCCACTTACCCGCCCACTCACCATAACCCTTAATTCCTTTATTGTTCAAAAATTTATCTAGCCTTGCCTTAAAAACATGCAGCGAGGTAGCTTCAACCGCTTCACTGGGCAGGGAATTCCACAGATTCACAACCCTTTGGGTGAAGAAGTTCCTCCTGACCTCAGTCCTACATCTGCTTCCCTTTACATTGAGGCCTAGTCCTAGTTTCACCTGCTAGCGGAAACAACCTCCCTGCCTCCACTTTATCTATTCCCTTCATAATCTTATATGTCTCTATAAGATCTCCCCTCATTCTTCTGAATTCCAATGAGTATAATCCCAGTCTACTCAGTCTATCCTCATAATCCAACCCTCTCAACTCTGGAATCAACCAAGTGAATCTCCTCTGCACCCCCTCCAGTGCTAGTATATCTCTTCTCTTTTAAGGAGACCAAAACTGCACACAGTACTCCAGGTGTGGCCTCACTAGGACCCTATACAGCTGCAGCATAGCCTCCCTGTTTTTAAACTCCATCCCTCTAGCAACGGCAGACAAAATTCCATTTGCCTTTTTAATTACCTGCTGCACCTGCAATCCCACCTTCAGCGATTCATGCACAAGGACACCCAAGTTCCTCTGCACAGCAGTGTGCTGCAATTTTTTACCATTTAAAACATAGTCCATTTTGCTGTTATTCCTACCAAAATGGATGACCTCACACTTATCAACATTGTACTCCATCTGCCAGACCTTTGCCCACTCACTTAGACTATCTATATCCCTCTGCAGACTTTCAGTGTCTTCTGCACACTTTGCTCTACCACTCACCTTAGTGTCATCTGCAAATTTTGACACACCACACTTAGTCCCCAACTCCAAATCATCTATGTAAATAAAGGCTTCATACTATGTTCAATACCATACTATGCATGCTATTAGCCATCAGACAATCTTCAAATTGTTGCATGTTGTGCAAAATGTATGTTATCATACTGTATTACCATTTAAAAATCATGTACTTTTTAGGTAATGCTCAGAATTTATGCATTTCATGGAATCATGCACCAATTTTTGAAAGAGTCTGAGGTCTGAAAGGTTCACTTTTGGGAGAACATGGCTCTGCTCTTTATCTAGATCCTCCCTCAACAAGGCCACTAATTCTTCTGATCTCTGTCCATGCCTTAGCTCACCTGTTGCTAAGACCCCCACCAATGCCTTTGTCACCTCTATACTCAATTATTCTATTGCTTTACTGGCCAGCATTTCAGTTTGAACTCTACATAAACTTGTGATCATTCAAAATATTGTTACTCATGTCTAAGTTTGCACAAAATCCCTTTTACACTCATTCCTGTGCTCACTGTTTCAGATCTAGCAAAGATTCTTATCCATGGTTTTAATTTTTTTTTTCATTCGTGGATGAATCAATGACTGGGCACAGATTTAAGGAAAGGGGCAGGATGTTCAGACGGGATGTGAGGAAAAAACTTTTCACTCAGAGGGTGGTGGGAATCTGGAACTCACTGCCTAGATAGAGGCAGAAACCGTTATTACATTTCAGAGGTATTTTGATGTGCACTTGTGATGCCAAGGCATACAAGGTTATGGGCTGTAACAGCAACCTCCTCAGAGGCAGTAACAACTCAGAGGTGGAGGAATTCATTTAAGCGAATCGAGTGGTTTATTATAAGCAATTACCGATAAATGCAGGGAATGGAGTTCTATGTAGACACGCAGGAATACCAAACTCACTCTGATTCATGAGCATGAGTTACAGCCTTTTATGTACAGAAATAAACAACTTGTCCAGCAATCATCGCAGTTTATCTCCACCCCCTTTCTAGTGCGGTCATTCCCTAGGGCACATCATGTGCTCTCATTTTAGTTGGATAATTTAATCAGAGTTTGATAATTTAATCAGCCATCTACTTTATCAACTATTCCTGTCCTATTGTCCTGTCTAATCTAATGGTCAGAGTGCATAGTCCTGTGGTCTAACTGAAATGTCATAGAGGTTTTAGCCATTTCAACATGGTCAGTAGGCCACATTGTTCCACCTGAATAAGCCTTGCTTAAACATTTTCAGTCAACTATTTCATGTCTATTCTACTATACTTACGTGTGTATATGGGACAGTCTTCCCTTTCATGGGCCAAGTGCTGAAAAATGGGATTAGAATAGTTAGGTGGCTGTTTTTGACCAGCATGGACATGATGGACTGGAGGACCTTTTTTTTGTGCTGTAGACCTTATGACTCTAAATCCCTCCTCAGTCGTTTCTGTCCTCAACTCTATAACTGGATTCAGTTCTGAAGAAGTAATATAAGAGTCAGAATGTTAATTCTGTTTCTCTCTCCACAGATGCTGCCAGACCTATTGAGTTTCTCCAACACTCTCTGTTTTCATTTTAGATTTCCAGCATCAGTAGTATTTTTCTCTCATTGAGGAGATGTTTAGCAGGCAGCAAAGTCCACCTCCATTGCCGGACATTGGCCTAATTGTAATCATGGCTATTACATTCTCTAGCCCTCATCCCTCATTCCCCCATCTGCCTAAATGCCCTTCCATGCTCCTCCTCATCTCCCATGCCTCTTCATTTC